CCCCGCCTGCTCGGCGGCGGCGGCTCCCTGCGTTGTCCGGGCGCCCGCGCCGCCCGCTCCTCGCTCGGAGTCGAGGTGAGTGGACCTGTGTGTCCGCCAAGGCATCGGCGAGCGCAGCTGCGGCCTGACCCAGCGGAGGGTACTCGGGCGCGTCCGGCTGTCCTGGGAGGACGTGAGCGCCGGTGTCCGCGGCCCGCCTGCTGCGCCAGCCACTCAGGGCCACACGCCGCTGGGGCCCGCACGGCTCCTGCCGCTGCTCCCGCGAGGCCGTGATTTCTCCTAGGTCCGTAGCGCTCGTGGGCATTTCTAGGGCCCCGCCACCCCTAGCGTCTCCTTGTCCCTTCCCTCCCGCTGCCCCGGGGCGCTCAGAAAGTTCGGTCACGTGCTGGTTTTAAAGACGCGTTTGTCTGTGCACACCAAGCTGGGGTGCAGACCAGAGGTGCGGGGTGAGAGGCCCAGACACGGTGGGGAGCAGAACAGGCGGGGACAGGAGAGGCCGCAGTGGCTGCGCTGCCCCGCAGCGCTGGGACTGGCGCCGCGCCCCAGGGAGGCCCCGCGTGTGCTGCTGCGGGCGCGAGTCCCGGGCCTTGCCCTCCGCGCGCCAGGCGGTCTGCCGGGTTCCTCGCGCGCCAGCCTGTGCCGCTGTTGTCTCTCCCCTTCCGCAGCCTCCGTTTACGGCGTGTGGTCAGGGAGGGGCCGGGTACGACTTCACCTGTGGTGCTGTGGACAGCTGGCGAGGCTGCCCGGCCGTGGTTTGCCTTGGGAAGGGCCTCGCGGGCACTTGAGAGAGGAGCGCGTGTGCATCGGGCCTCCCGGGGTGCGGGGAGGGTCACAGGAGGCACCCCAGGGCGCAGCAGCCCCTCCTGCCCTCCCACCGCGCCCCCAGCAGTGCACGTCATCAGCCCACCGGCTCCGCTCCCCACGGTCTCTGGGGCGTCCTTTCCCCTGCACCTCTGGCCTGCACCCCAGTTCTGTGTGCATGGATCAGTCTTAAAACACCAGCGCAGGCGGGCGCGTGTGCGCAGCTGCTGCCGCCCCGCCCGCTCCCCGGAGCGCGAGAGCCTCACTCGGGGTGTCCCTGTGTCTGCTCCCTGTCCCAGCGGTGAGCGGTCTTCACTGCCGCCCGAGCGGCTGGGCTGGCCGGCCGGTGCGCCCAGCGCGCCCCGAGGCTGTGCCCCTCTGCGGGGAGTGTCCAGTCGCCAGCAGCCGCTCGCCTTGGTCTGGTGAGGGCTCGGCCGGCCAGTCCCGGCCACTCTTGGCCGTGACTGTTGAGCAGTTAGTGACGGCTTGTTGTGTTGTCTCTGTTTGCCAGGGCTGCTGTCGGCTCCGCGTCTCGCTCCGCCTCCGCGGCTTCTGTGTTGCTTCCCCTGTGTGGGGGAGGCGTGGGGGCGGGGGTGCCCCGTGCGGTCCTGTGGGCCAGGGCCCGCCTCCCTGCCCTGTGGCCGGGGGTTGCTCTGTGCGCGGCTTGCTGTGTGAGTGAAGGCGTAGGGCACCTGCGGCGGCGTTGCTGGTGCGGGGCGCCTGGGCCGGGCCGGGGCTGGGGTGCGGAGGCCACGGGGGCCTGCAAAGCCACCAGGGCTCCGGGCCAGGGCGGCCACTCTCCACGCCTCCCCTGCCCGCGTCCCGGCGCTGATCCTGCCCGGTAAAGGCACGGGGCCTCCCGCTGAGCGGCCTGTGGCCTCCTTGTCCGGTGTGTCCAGTGGGGAGCTCTTCGGGCTCGGGCCACTGTATCCCCTGGCGCCCCCGCCCTCTGCTGTCCGCTCCAGCGCTGCCTGGCTTGGAGGCCTCAGCCCGCTTTTACTCAGCTGAGGTTTCTTTGCTGCCTTGTGTGTCATTGTCGCCGCGAGTCTGCCTGGCCTCCTCCTGGCCTCCTCCTGGCCTCCTGTTCTTCCTTTCCGGCCCCTGGGCGTCCAGGTTCTCGGCTGGTCTGAGCCCGAGGCCACGGTCCCTCGCCGCAGCCCTCCCCTCCGCCCTGCCGGCCCTGGGAGCGAGCGGGCCGGCGCTGTGTGGCCCTGAGCGGAGCGGAGCGCCCGGGCCCCAGCCGCGTGAGACGGTGACGGGCTTTCCAGTCGCGCGGGCATGGGCGCGGGCGCCTTGTCGGCGGGCCGCTTCAGAAGCCCGTTTGAACGACCCAAAGCAGGAGGGGGTCAGACACCCCGGGACGCGAGGGCGGTCTTCCGACGGCCAGGCGCGCCGCTCCGCGGTGGCGTGTGTCCGCGACGTCCCGCCCGAGGACGCTGGGCACTCGTCAGGCCTGGCGCGGAGAGGCGGGCGCGGCCGGGGCTGAGCGCCTCCTGTGTCCGCAGTATGACGCCGTCCCCGTCCAGTCCAGCGTGGTGTTATGTTCCTGCCCGTCGCCATCCATGGTGAGGACCCAGGCTGAGTCCGGCACGGCCCCTGGCGTTCCCGGCGGAGGCCGGCAGGGCCCCGCCATGGACAGCACGGCCGCCGAGGCCCGGCCCAGCGCCGCCCCGCTGCAGCACGCGGCGCAGCCGCCGCCACAGCCTCGGAAGAAACGGCCCGAGGACTTCAAGTTCGGCAAGATTCTGGGCGAGGGCTCTTTCTCCACAGTGAGTAGCTGCTGCCGCGCCGCGCCCCCAGGGCAGGCTGGCTCGCTGAGGGGCCGGGCGGGGCCTGGCGGGCACGCCGCTCTCACTGTCCCCCTGAAGCCAGCATGGGCTCCAGGGCCGAGGGAGGCCCCTGGGCGGTAGGCGCAGGGGGCTGGCCGCAGGATGGGAGGTGCTGTGTGGCCCCATGTGGCCCAGCGCCGGTGAGAAAGGCCACGGTGGGCCACGGGCTGGCGGGCGGGCGGAGCACCTGAGGTGGGGCCTGCCCTCGGGCACTTCACCCGCCTGCGGCTTGTTTTCGCACCGAGCCCAGACTGGGCACGCGCATGGCTCACCTGCGCTCCGCTTTGGCGCCCGGTGCCGTGGGAGCCGAGTCGTCCCGGCGCCTGAGGGCGGCGCCAGGTGTGCGGTGACGTGGGGGCACGCCCTGGAGGGTGGTTCCCTGGGGCTGGGCACTGCTGCGCTTACTGCGCGTGGGCTCGGGCTCGCGGGGCAGACCCCCGAGCGCACGCCTCTGCCCTGCGGGGTGCCAGGCCTGGCGGCAGCCCGTGTGGTAGGCGGCGCTCGGTCACGCCGTCAGCACGCGGCCCCGTTACCCCGAGTGTTTCTCCTCTTCCCTAACCAGGTGGTCCTGGCCCGAGAGCTGGCAACCTCCAGGGAATATGCTAGTAAGTACTGACAGCGCTGTGCGCGGGGCCCCCGGGTGGGGTGTTGTGCTGGCTTTGGGGTGAAGGTGGCTGTGGGCTAAGAGCCGTGCGCAGGGTGCCTGGGGCGCTGGTCACCCCGTGCGGGCTCTGGTGGCCCAGCCCGGGCCGGTGGCAGTGACTGGCTTCTCCCGCCCCAGTTAAAATCCTGGAGAAGCGGCACATCATCAAAGAGAACAAGGCCCCATATGTAACCAGGGAGAGGGACGTGATGTCGCGCCTGGACCACCCCTTCTTCGTCAGGCTCTACTTCACCTTCCAGGACGACGAGAAGCTGTGTATCCTTCTTTCACTGGCCAGCGCCCCGTGCGCCACCGCGTGCTGCCCCAGCGGCCCTCCCCTGAAATTCAGCGTCCTCTGCCTTGGGGACCCCGGACGTGTTTTGGGTCCCCAGGGTGCCTGCGAGCGCATCAGAGGTGACCTTCGTGGGGCGTCATGGACGTTGGAGGTTTTATCAGGACAATTACGCTTCGTGGGTGTGATTTTAGCCCGGCGGTCGCCGGCCTCGTTGCTGGGGCCTCCTGTCATGCCTCCTGCCGGCGACCAGAGGCCAGGTGCCTAGACGGGGGGGATCTCACGTGGGGCGCGTGTGTTTGGTCTCAGGCCGGGCTGGCACAGATGCGGGGAGGGGGCTCCGTCCTCAGCTCTCCGCTGCTTCTTGGGCTGTGAGACGCCGCCACAGTAGCTGGAGGGGGCTCCAGGGGTCACTCGCCTCCTAAGGATGAGGTGGGGGGTTGGGGATCCCATGCATGCCCTCCTCCCCTCAGTGTGGCCTACACTCGGGGAAAGGGGAGCAGTCCCCCAGCACCGGGAGGCCAGCCCACCCCAGCTGGGGTGCGGTGCTCCTGGCCTCCCCACAGCCGCCTGCGCGCAGCCCAGCCCGAGCTGGGGCAGCGGCATCACTGCCCTGAGGCGGGGAGGAAGGGGTGAGGTGCCCAGGGATGGCAGTCCCTGCACGTCCCGTTCCCCTCTCGCAGCACGGGGCAGGAGCAGCCACCAGGTCCGGATCAGGGATCTGGCCTCAGCTCTGTGGCTGTGCCTGAGTGCAGGGCCCGCCCCCCCCCCCGGAGCCGGAGCACAGCTTCCTCCTCCCTGGCCTGGCCACTGTGATGCTGAGGGAGGTGGGGACAGCCTTGGGCACGACGGTAAGGTGGCCTGCACCCCGCGCGTGAGTGATGTGTGCAGGCGAAGAGCAGGGCGTGGCGCTGTGGGCCTCAGCACCTGTCTGTCCTGCTGCACCGCCTGTCACCTCACGCCTCAGCCGAGCAGAGAATCAGAAAGTGTCCCTCAGGCAGGAAACAGGAACTGGGGGAGCAGTCAGATAAGGGGCAAAACCCACAAAGCCGGAAGAGGCGCCGGGCCAGGCCTCCCCCACGCTGCAGGCTCCTGGAGACAGGCCTTGATGCTGAAGCTTGAGGCCAGTGCCAGGGCCAGGCGGGCTGGCGTGCTGCAGGCTGGCCCGGGCCCTGACACCCACACCCGGCAGGTGCAGCGCAGGCCAGGGAGCGGGCCTGGGCAGGACCGTGGCCTTGCTGGAGGGCAGGCTGACTTGTGCTCCAGGCTCCTGGTGAGCACGGTCGGGGCTGGGGGGCAGTGGGCAGCTCCGTGGTGCCCCTGCTGGGTCTCCCGACCGCCCTGGGCATTGACGGGGTCGGCGGTGCTCTGGCAGCCAGGAGCCGCACACGTCGCAGGCGGCCATCCTTGAGCTCGTGGCCCCTCGGGGTGCTGCTCAGGTGGGCGAGGCCGGCCCCACCCCGGCCATGGGAGCGGCGGTGCTCGGAAGTGGTTCCAGCAGGGCCGTGCTCCGGGCGGCCTCGAAGGCTTCGAAGAGGAAGGACAGGGATGGAGGGGATCGTGCCGCGGGCTCCGCGCCGGGGCGCTGGCCAGGCGGCGCTCTCCACCCCGGCTGGCCCCTGCGTGCAGTTGCAAAAGGGCGTCACGGAGAGCCTGCGCCTGGCACTCGGGCCTGGCGGGTTCCGGCCCTGCAGGCCGGGTCCTGGCGTGGAGAGTGCGCACGGGCCGATTCGGGCAGTTCCTGCGCTTCCTTAATCAGGCGACATTCAGACTTTGGTCTCAGCTATGCCAAAAACGGGGAGCTGCTTAAATACATACGCAAGATCGGCTCGTTTGACGAGACGTGCACGCGCTTCTACACTGCAGAGATGGTGTCCGCGCTGGAGTACCTGCACGGCAAGGGCATCATCCACAGGTGCGGCCCGCCGCGGAGACCCCGGGGCCCACCCCGCAGAGCACCCGCAGCCGCCGGCTGGCCGCGGCCTGTCCTGCCATGGCTTTGTGGGCGCTTCCTGGCTGCGTCGTGCCGGATGTTCAGTGTGCTCTTACTGGCGCGCGGGTCAGGCCGAGGCGAGGCCCCGGCGGGGCTCCGAGGCCCCGGTGGGGTGGTGTCCTGCCTGGTTTTCTTTGTAAACGTGAAGAAACCTGCTTTCACAGGGACCTGAAGCCAGAGAACATTCTGCTGAATGAAGAGATGCATATTCAGATCACTGATTTTGGGACTGCGAAGGTGTTGTCTCCAGACAGCAAACAAGGTGAGGCTTCGTGTCCAGCGCGCTGGGGGTCATCCTCAAAAACAGCGCCTCAGAAACAGGTTGAGGTGCGCTGCGTGCCGCCTCGGGTCCGTGTCCCTGGGCTGGCTCCCGGCGGCTGAGCGCGCGGAGCGTGCCGTCCCGGGGTGCCCCGGCGCCTTGGAGTGCTTGTCCTCCCAGAAGATTTGGGAGGGGTCCGCTTGTGGCTGGTCTCTCCTACAGGGGTGCGGGGCTGACGGGGTCCGCCTTCCCGGGGACCCGCTGCCTCCCTGTCGCGGGTGGCAGCGCTGGCCCAGGTGCGGGCGCCCGGAGGGCAGCAGTGGCCGAGGGAGCAGGGCTGACTCCCCTGCTGGTCAGAGCGTGCTCGCCCGGCAGCCCTCCTGCCCTCTGTGCCCAGGGGGTTCTGCCGCCGGCCCATCCCCCTGGCTGCTGCCAGCACAGTGAGGGGCTTTAGCTTGCTGCGCGTCCGCTGCCGCCCGAGGGGAATCGGGCCGGGAGAGCCGCTGCCGTCTCGCCTGCTCGGCAGGAAGCCCGCGCCTGAGACCAGGGCCTCGACGCCACCGTGTGTGCTAAGTGATCTCAGACTCGAGCCCCGGTCTTGGCACAAGTCAGAACCCCCTAACCCGAGCGGATGGGCTGCTGCAGGGCTGTGGGGACAGCCGGCCCGGCGCCTGGGAGAAGCCCCAGTGTGAGTGCCCGAGGTCGGCAAGCGGGTGGAGGTTGCTGGACGCTGCCTCGGCCGTCGCACGCTTGTGGGGAAAAGGGGAGCCCAGGAGCACGCTCACTCCGGGGGCCACCCACACACCAGTGCTGGGGCACCTCTGGGGTCCACAGGCTGGCCTTTGTCCAGCAGAGGCCCTGAGCCTTCCCCTTCTGGTATTTGAAACGCAGGTTCTCGCAAAGATTCTCCCAGTGAGCTTTTTGGGGGCACACTGCGCCCCCAGAGGGCTGGCGGGGCCTGGGCCTCGCTGAGAACCAGGCCACCGCCGTCTGGGGCTGACCCAGACGGGTCAAAGAGGATGCTCACACTCTCGGGCCCGGCGTGGTCTCCCCAGCGACCTCCTGCTCCCAGGCGCGCCCAGCCGGGGAGTCGTCATGCACGGAGAGGTGGCACTTGGGCTCCCGGCCTGCCAGTCGTGCGGCCCCTGGCAGGCTGCATGGCCGAGGCCAGGGGGGCGGGGCCGGCTGCCCCCACTGCGGCCCCTGCTGTGACAAGCCGCCTGCTGGGCTCCCTCCAGGCCGGTGTGGGTAAGGCCGCTCCTGCGGCCCCTGACGTTTCGGCCCCACACGCTCTCGGAGCCTGGCGGCAGCGCGCCAGCCCGCTTCTGTCCGGCCTGCGCTGTAGCCAGAGCTGCTCGTGTGCACGGTGAAGGGTGTGCAGCACACGCGTGCTCGGTTTCCGGCTGGGTGCTGGGGTCTGAGCCTTCGTCCGCGCTGGCTTCCCCACTGCTTTTCAGACTTGAGAAGCAGTGTTGGGGGGAGTCGGGGTCCTTGCAGCGCAGGCGCAGGCGCTCGCTCCGCTGCTGGGGGCCAGTGGGCGTCCCCGGACTGGGCGCCAACCAGGGTTGCTCCTTGAGGTGTGTGAGGGCAGCTCGGGGGGGATTCTGGGACTGAGGGGCACTTTAGCACAGTGGACCGAGACTAGTCACCTGCTCAGGTGTGCAGACGTCCCCAGGAAGGGCGCTCTGTCACTTGGCGTCTGCCCCAAGGGTCAGGCCGGGGCCGTGGCTGCAACAGTCTGCAGCTCCCTGCAGGTCTTAGTTGCGAAAGTGGGCGGGGAGGGGCTCCGAGCGCAGGTTCCCCGGGCGGCCCTCTGGCACCCCCTGGCAGGCCCGCCCTCGTGCTGTGCTCAGAGGGGTTCTGCGAGCGCCCCGACGTTCTTGCATGCTCAGTGCCACCGGCCCTGCACCCACCGCGCCCCACGCACCCGCACCAGAATCCCCTTTCAGGGCCTCTTCCCGCCACGGGAGGGGAACCGGTGTGGAGGGCCCGGCCCCCGGCAGCAAGCACAGCTCTCCAGCGTCCAGAATGTCTGCGCTGGTCTTTCAGTGCTGGCGTCTGTTCAGTCACGGCGGTGGGGCCTGGGGTCTCGTATTTGCAAGTGGCCATTGTCCCTTCCTGGAGGGGTACTGAGTCAGGGTTCAAGCCAGAGCTTCCTTGTTGGGCTCAGCTGGTCGCCCACGCTCCCTCCCCACCTCGCTGTCCCTTAGAGCCTGCAGAAAGCCAGGTCACTCGTCCTCCAGAGCTCGCTGATTGCATCGCTGGGCTCGTGGGATGTGTCTGGCGCTGCTGTGGGGCCTGTAAGCCGGGGTGGCGCCGCGCTGCTTGGCCTCGTTCAGGCCCACCCTGTGCCCCCGTGAGGGCAGGGGCCTGATGACTCCTGTGCCCCAACCTGCAATCCTCAGAGAGCAGAGCACCAGATTGGGCTGCTCCTGACCGGCCTGCACCCCAGTTGGGTCAGGCGGCCTCGGCCTGGAGAGAGCATGAGGGCGGTTTCCCTCCCTTTCGCTCATCACTTTTTTTTTTTTTTTTTGGTAAGATTTATTTATTTGTGCATACAGAACTGGGGCACAGGCCAGAGGCTCAGGGGCGGTAAGAGGCTTCCCCAGAGGCAGAGCGGGGAGCAGAACAGGCAGATCGACGAAGTACACTGCTGAGGGGAGCAGCGGGCGGGTCAGGAGAGGTCTGCTGCGCCCTGGGGTCACCTCCGGGGCAGGCGGGGATCGAACTCATGCGGAAGCGGCTGTAGCTTCTCAGTGCTGCGCATTACCCCGCTGCGCCCCCAGGGAGGGCCGCTCATCACTGTTGAAAGCCTGGCGTTGGCAAGCTGTCGCGCAGCCCTCCCCGCTCATGCCGCACGGGGCCGCCGCCTTGGGCACAGTGGGTGTGGGAGGCGTGGCCGCCCCCGCCGCTGCCCCCTGCGCCCATGGCCGTGCTCTGCGCTTGGTGCGTGGGCGAGAGGCTGAGCCTGCGTGGGCTGGGGGTGTGTGCTGCCTCCACGTGGGGGCCCTGGCTCCTGCTGCTGGCCGCAGGCTGGGTGCCTGGCCCTCGTGTGTGTGCTGGTCAGCACCGCCCTGGCCCCTCGCCGTCCTGGCTGGGCCAGCCCCTGGGATGAAGTTGTTGTCGGCCGTGATGACCCAGGGGCTGTCGGGATGACGCTCAGGACCTGGGGCTGCATGGCGGCCCTCACATTCTCCGAGCCCTCTTTTGGTTTGGTTAAGGCGTCATCTGTGTAGAGGGCTGAATGCGGGGGAGGCGCGCCGGCGTGGCAGGGGCTGCCCCTCGGAAGAACAACACCTCTGCCTGGCCAGCAGCGTCCATGAGCCCCGAGGCCGAGAACGGCTGCCTCGGGTCCCAGAGCGCTGGGCCCCTGCTGCAGTGCCGCTCTGCTCCCTGGGGACGCTCCTGCTGGCCCAGGAGGCCCCGCCCCCGGCGAGTCTGACCTGCTGGCAGCCCGCCACTCCTCACCCGAGCCCTGGGAGCCCCTGGGAGCGGGCCTCTGAGGGCAGTCCCGCCCGTCCCCCCTCTCAGGAGCCCTGCACCTCTGGACCCCATTCCACACACCAGCCCAGGACTGGAGCCCCACCTCTGAGGGGGCGCCAGTTGCGGGGAAGCAGAAGCCGTGGGTGGGGCGAGGGTGACGTAGCGTAGGCCGCCGCTCTTGGCCTGACGTGCCCGTGGCTCTGCCCCACGGGAACCAGGTTCCCCGAACTTCCTAATGATGGCAGTTCAGCCAGGCGTGGCAGGAGCCGTTCGTAACCGCGGAGAGCCAGCCGCAGGTGCGGGAGGGGCCGGGCGCTGCTGTCTGCCTCAGTGGTCTCGGCGCGCCCAGCCAGCCCTGGTGTGGGGAGCCGCCGCAGCTGTCTTCCCGGGCAAGTGTCCAGGGCAGGCCGGGCTGGAGCAGCACCCCCCCCCCCGGGCGCCTCTGGAGACAGCCCCCCACCCTGCCTCCATGTCCTGCGGGCCCGGAGTCCCGTAGCTCCCAGTGTACCACTGGCCTGGCAGTGGCCTTGGAACCTTCCAGCACTTCCAGGGCGGCTGTGATTTCCAGCTTGAGTCCGTAAAGAAAGCTAGAGTTGCTCACGACTCACCCTGGGAGCTGGACGTCCCGCTACTCTGACTCGCCTGGGGTGAGGCTTGGGTCAGTTGGGGAACAAGTCTGTGTCCCCTTCTGGACCCTGATTGTGGGAAAAAAGGGCAGAGGAAGACCTTTTCCGCTCCCTTCTCTGCTTCCTTCTCTGCCTCTCCTGAGGCTTTCCACACCTGGCCACCCTGAGGAGTGCGCTGCCCTCAGAGGAGAGGGCTTGTCTGGGGGCCTGGTCGGAGGGTTGTGGGGTGTCTGGGGCTGTTGCGAGCAGCTGACCTGCCCTCCTCTCTCCCCAGCCAGGGCCAATTCCTTCGTGGGCACAGCCCAGTACGTCTCTCCAGAGCTGCTCACCGAGAAGTCGGCCTGTAAGAGGTAAGCTGCTTTCCTCTCACCCCAAAGCCCCTCTCCTCTGAGGCTGCATGCCCTCCCCCCCACCCCCTGGAAAGGAAGTGAGCGGCCCCTGGTGACCTTCCACACTCAGTGTGCTGTGCAGGAATCGTCTTCCCTCCGATAACCTGCAAGCCGCTGCTTCTACGGTGCACTGTTCTGCTCCTTATGGGGCACTGTTGTCTCATGCTTCGAGGTGGATCTTTCTTCTTGGGATAGCTTCTGCAGGGCCAGAGTGACCTGGGGCCTGCCACATTGACTGGGCATCCCGCTGTGTCCCGAGGCCTGGGATCCCGGGCCTCCTTGGCTGGTTCTGTGGGACGGAGCAGGCTGGCCTGGCCTGCGGGGGCCGGAGCTGATGGCCACAGGGGCCCAGCACGCGCGTGCTTAGGCCCAGACCAGCCTTCTGGGGATCCTGGGGGAACAGAGAAGTGCAGGGGCAGGCATAGAGGACCCGACACCAGAGAGGTGGAGGCATGGCTGATAGGCGCCCTGGGCGGGGGGAAAGGGGCTTAGGGGAGCACAGGGCCAGAGTGTCTGGAGCATCTGGAGAGGGGTGTGGGCACAGGGCGTGTGGAGGGCTGAGTGGTGATGTAGGGTTTGGGGCCTCAGCATTTGTGGGGGGCAGTGAGAACTTGGCTTCTGAAACTTCTGGGGGGTCACAGTCTCAGGTGTGCCAAGTTGGCCTTGGTCACAGGAGTCTTGGGGCTAACCTTGGCCGTTTTTTGACCCCAAAAGATTTTGAGCACTTACATGGACCGGACTGGCTGGGCCTCCCAGCTGGGCCCCTGTGCGCTGGGGTGTTGGTGGTGGGGGACATCTGAACATGATTTTGATGTCAGCGTGGTGGGGGTGTGGGGAACCGCTGCTGCACCCCTCATGGAGGGGGTGGCGCGGTGGGTGCCAGAGTGGGCAGTCCAGGACTGTGATGGTCAGTGCTGCTGGGGGCCCCCCATGCCTCCTGCACAGAATGAGGGGGGCATCCAGACCACTGCCCGTGTCCTAGGGCTTAGTGGGAGGAGGCTGAGCCTGGTGGGGAGGCCAGTCTCTGAGGAGACAGCCCGTGTCTGTGCTTCGTGCTCTTTGCCCCAAGTCATGGCTGTTCCTCTGACCCTAAAGCTCGTCCACTTGTAAGTGAGGCCTAGAGAAGACGGGGAGCGGCATGCCGGGCCCAGGGCACGGTCTGGTGCGCGTCTGCGGTGGCCTGTTCCACTGGGCCATCTGACACCTGGAGCCCTGCAGAGACGGCGCCCTGGCCTGTGACTGCCGGGGGAGCGGGGACCGGGCCTGCCCCAGCCCCGTGTTGGGGTTTCAGGAAGTGCCCGGGGCAGCACCAAGCCCTGCAGAAGTCCTGGGTGCATCTGCTTTCTGGGGCTCCACACTGGCCCCCCTGTAATCTTATACTGTGTGAAAAACACATTTGAAACATTGCCGAAAACACTGAATGTGGACTGGGCCTGAAACTTGTATTTTGGGTTACCAACTCCTGTCCCCTTTCCCCTGTGTCACTCCTCGCTTTAACCAGACTGCCGCGCACCCCGGGGAGACGGGGCCGCTGACAGACTTGGGCCGCACCCGCGCGCGCACCTCAGCTCCCAGGCCCGCTGGTACCGGGGTGGTGGCCTCTTCCAGACGCAGACTGGGCCAGCGCCCCAGGACCCCACATAGCCCGAGAGGCTGCGCAGAGGGGCATGGTGCCCGTCGCTCCCGGGTCTGCGCCCAGCTGGTGCCTTGGGAGCGGCCCCGCCCTGCTGCCTCACTCTGGAAACACCCTGAACCTTAGCTGTGGTAAATGCGCAGTGAAAGTGGTCAGGAAGCAGGAGTGTGGCGGAAGGAGGGGCCGCGACCCCTGCGGGCGGCCCTGCCCGCTCCGTGCCAGCAGGGGGCTGAGGAGCTGCCCGGCGGCCGCTGCTTGTGGCTGAGCCGCGCTGCTGTCTCCCTGCAGCTCGGATCTGTGGGCCCTGGGGTGCATCGTCTACCAGCTCGTGGCAGGCCTGCCGCCGTTCCGGGCAGGGTGAGTGGCTGTGCCGGGGGCGGGGCGGGGCTCCCAGCTGCGTGCTGTGGTGGCCTGTGCCGATCAATGCTCTTTTTGTTCTACAGAAACGAGTATCTTATATTTCAGAAGATCATTAAGCTGGAATACGACTTTCCTGAAAAATTCTTCCCTAAGGCCAGAGACCTCGTGGAGAAACTCCTGGTGAGTAGTTCGAAGTTTCTTCCGGAGGGAGGACCCGAAGCTGCGCCCTGCACTCCGGCCGCCGGGCGCTTTCCGGGCACCTGTGCTTCGCGCAGCGGGCTCCGGCTGCCGGTGGCAGTGGGTCCCAGCTCTTCTGTCTCAGGTCGCCGTAAGAGCCGTTCAGCTCGGGTTCTGCTCTCTGCCGTCTGAGCGAACCGGGCGCCCGCGACCCTCTGCGCTGTCCACCAGCCTCATGCAGCTGCCTTGAACCCAGGGGGCCAGCACTAGAGCCTTCCCCGAGGCTGTGGCCACAGCCTGGAAGAGGCCCATGGGGTAGCCAGGAGCTGTGTCCAGGATTGTGACACGGGTCAGGTCCCTTGGGTGGCTCCGTGGCCACCCGGGTGGGGCCGCATCCAGCCCCCCCCCCCCCATGCATGGTTCGCTCGTGGGGTTCTTGGGGTGGAGTCCTGCCATGGTGACAGCTTGCTCTCTGGACAGGCCTCCCTGCCCCCTTGGTAGAGGGATCTGTGTGCCTGCCCTGGGCACAGTTGGGTCCTCGCAGCTGCTCCTGGGCCGAGGTGATAGCTCCTGCTGGCCTGCACATGGGGTGGGGTGGAGACTGGATGGGAGGACGCCGTGGGCGTGGCCCTGGTGCCTGCCGGGCCTGGCCGCCGTGTAAGCAGGGCTGCCCGGGAGGGCTTCTGGGGTCAGAATTCATTGTTCCGTCTGACACCGCTTTGTTTCACCTTCCAGGTTTTAGATGCCACAAAGCGATTGGGCTGTGAAGAAATGGCCGGGTACGGGCCTCTTAAAGCGCACCCCTTCTTTGAGTCCATCACGTGGGAGAATCTGCACCTCCAGACACCCCCGAAGCTCACGGCGTACCTGCCGGCCATGTCTGAGGACGACGAGGACTGCTACGGGAACGTGAGCCGCGGGCGGGGCGGGGCGGGCGTGGCGACTCTTGGCGAGTGCACTCTGCAGGCGCTGGGCGCTTCTCACCTGCCTCTGTGAGATAATGTTGCCCACGGGCTGGAACAGGAGCCAGTGGAAGTAGCGCCCTCAGCCCCATCCCCTTGGGCTCTGAGCCCCTTCCTGGGGGTGGACACAGTTCCCCGGGGGCAGCTAAGTCTGAGTCCCGGAGAGCCATCCAGCACCCTGAACTCAGAGATGCGCCCTGCGAGGGCGGGGTGGGGGCATGAGTGCTCTGGAGTGTAAGGTTGTCTGGGGGGGACCGGCTAAGTGGGGGGTCGGTGCACTGCATCCTGTCCCTGGCCCCTCTCATCGCACGTCGCTTCTGGACTGACCCGCACAGGGGCAGCTGAGGGGGCCAGGGTAGAATAGACGGTGCATCGGACATCTGTGGGGGCCAGTGCAGTGGCACCCTTGGGCAGGAGCCCCGAGGAAGGGGGCTGTGGTCGAAGCTGCCAGTTGTGCTGGAAGTGCGCAGGGAGGCGCTGCTGACTTTTGGGGTGACTGGCAGGGCGTGACCTCGGCCAGGCCTGCACCTCAGGCTCCAGTGTCGGGGTGGGGCTGGCGGGAGCAGCCGCACCGCCTTCACAGGCCCGTGAGGTGTGGGAGGGCATTGGGGGCGGCGCCAGGGCCCTCTGGGCAGGGGCTGGGAAGGTCATGCTCCTCTCCTGCTTAGAGGGGCCTCTGCCCTCGGGTCTGGAGCTGGTCGCTGCCCTCACGGTCATTGCCGAGCACTGACCTCTCTGCTTCCCACGTGGCCTCTGGGCAGCAGGCAGGCGTGTTTGCTAGGCCGCGTGGGGTTCTGCTGAGCTTAAAGGGGTAGTTATTTCAAAAAGCGAGCATAGTCCATCTCATGGGAATATGGGGTGACTGCCAGAACCAAAACATGGGTCCCTTGAGCTGGGCGGCCATCTGGCCTGGGTCGTGGGGTCTGGCCGCATCCTGGGGTGAGTGTTGTGGAAGCGACGGTGGCGAGCCCCTGGCAGGGTGCCCGGGATGCTGCGGCGCGGCCTCACGCCCCTCTCTCCGCAGTACGACAACCTCCTGAGCCAGTTCGGCGGCATGCAGGTGTCGTCCTCCACCCACTCCCTGTGCGCAGCGGGCCCGGGCCCGCCCCCCCGGGCCGGCAGCAACATCGAGCAGTACATCCACGACCTGGACACCAACTCTTTTGAGCTGGACTTGCAGTTTTCCGAGGAGGAAAAGAGGTTGTTGCTGGAGAAGCAGGCCAGTGGGAACCCTTGGTGAGAACCCGGGGCGCAGCGGGGCTCCACTTTGGGGCGCAGCGAGGGCCGGGCCGGGCGCTGCCTGCCTCGCGGCTCTGGCCCCTGGCGGGCCCCTGTGGTCTGCCCCTCGCGCCGGCTCCTCTCCCCTGGGCCTTCGTGTTGGACGCTGGCTCTCGTCAACATTTTTCCCACATCTGACTCTGCGCGGCCAGGGGGCCAGAGGGCGAGTCTCTGCTGCTGGGCTGCACGCGCCGCCTGGCCCACCTGTACTCACCTCCGTGGCCACTGAGGGGGCACCTGCCTCAGCCTGCGCTGGGCTGACTCGCGGGCGGGGCGGGCCTGGGGTGCGTGAGCCGGGGCCCGGTGGAGGGGCGGGGCCCGGCTGCAGCATGGTGTCGCTGGGTCACTGGCGCTGTGGGCAGGCGAACGGGGCCGGGCCAGAGCTCTGCTGGTGCACTGGGCGGGCTGGCTCCAGGCCCTCCCGCACACCCCACGAAGGCTGCTGCCTGGCTGCGGCCTGTGCTTCAGGCGGGGCCGAGCAGCCGTGGGGGCCAGACCGCAGGCCCTCCCCACCTGCTGCTTGCCCCCAGGGCGCGTCCCCACCCCCAAGGCCTCTGACGCCCGCGCTCTGCCGGTCTGTCCCGCCACACGGTTCTGGTCACGGCCAGGATCACCCTGGCATGATCATGGCACCAGGCGATGAGCCGCAGCAGACTGGGCAGCGACTTGCCCGCAGCTCACTGCCCACTGCTTGAGCTTGTCACCCATCCGCGTGCACAGCTGCAAGACCACTCGGCTGCCGAGAGCGGTGGTGGCGGGCCTCGTCTCCAAACCAGGGAAACTGGCTGCGAGTGGCCACTGACCTCACCCGGAGCCGGGTCGGTGTAGACGCGGGGTCTGCCTGAACGGCATCTCCCCACCACTGTGGACACAGGGCGCCTGGCACTAGACCGTGGGCTGACTCGGCTGCTGGGGTGCGCTGCTGGTCCCGCTCTGGGCCCTGAGGCAGTGGAACTGGGGAGCTGTCCGCCTGGGGGTGGCCGCTCTGTGCCTCTGCGCCAGGCCAGGCTGCCCTCGCCACCCTCCACCCCACCAGGCTGTGTTTGGGGCGCCCCGTACCCCCATAACGGCCCCCCTTTGGCCACGACCTCGGGCGCCGAGTGTGCCGTGAACGCGGGCGTGGCCTTTGTGCAGCCCCGCATGAGGGACCCCGGCCGCAGGCTGCTGCCCACTCAGTTGCCTGTTGGAGTGCGTCAAGCGCACGAGGACGCGGCCCAGAGGAGCGGCCCCCTGGGCCCCGCAGCATCGGCACCGGAGGCCAGCTGCGCGCATCCTGAGGGGCTGTTCTGGGGTCAGGCGGGGGCGCCCTGGGCACGGGGCCGGGGCGTTCACGAGGTTCTGGTCTGCTCTGAGCCGGAGCTGCTGGCCGGGCGGTGCCGGTGTGCAGCTGGGCGACGCCTTCGGGGCTGTCTGCTTTTCAGAGCGGGCACCTCGCGGCTGGCCGGCCGCCTCTCGGGTCTCCGGGACGGCAGGGAGGGAGCGGGTGGCTGCCATGCCCCCAGCGCAGCTGCGCTCTACCGCCGGCCACGAGCCCCACCCCGGCCCGTGCCGTGTCCAGGTGGCCCTCCAGGGACCCGTCCTCACGTGGCCGTTGGATCCAGCACCGAGCCCACGGCCCCGTAGCGCAATGGACAGCGGGCCGGCCCGCCTCGGTCTTCAGGAGCAGACACCGGGGCGCCCGGTTGGTGTCTTCCGGAGGCTTGGCTGTGGCTGGGGCCCTTCCTGTCATGTGCTCGGGGACCCGAGGGGTCGTGCCTGCTCAAACACCCGCCTGCCTCGGGGGCTGCCGCCTTCTCACATTTGGTTTCGGTGACCTGCCTCTCAGGTCTGGGGGAGCCCCATTTCCTAAGACCTGGCCCCCTCACTCTCGTTCTCCTGCTTAAGTCCCCCTGGGGGTGCCGAGGCCACAGGCACCCCTCTGCTGACCCGCCCATCACCCCAAAGGCCTGGCGGCAGCTCTGATGATCAGAGCTGACCTGGACGTGCTGACCTGGGGGCCCCAGCGGGTGAGGAGAGGCCCCGCTGGCGCTGCCGTCTTCCCCGCTCAGCAGGCCCAGTGTCTCCCGGACGTCCCCGGTGACCTGTCTGCTGCCGAGTGCTCGGTGCGCCTTCTGCCCCAGCAGCTGTTGTGGCTGCCTGGCGCCAGGTGCGGCCGCAGAAGGACAGCCGGCGGCCCTCGTGCTGTGGCCGCCCGTCTGCGGTCCCTCGGGGAGCCCCGTGTGGGCTCTGGGTCGTGGGGGTCGGGCCGGGTCGGCAGAGAGTGTGGGGAGCCCCGTGCCGGGCTCCGAGAGCCCGATGGCTGTGGTGCAGCGCTTGCGTTTGAGGGGACGGTGGCCCCAGTCCCTTCTGGAGTCCAGAGCGTGGTTTGCACTACGCACTGCCCACTGCTGCCTGGATCTGCGGGGAGCACAGCAGCCCGTCCTCTGGGGCCAGTGCTCAGAGTCCAGCACATGCAGAGTCACGGGAGGCCTGTCCCTGGACCCAAGTCGGGTGCCCAGGGTGGCACTGTCTGAGGGGCAGGCCAGGCCCAGGGAGTGGACGCGTGCCGTCGGGACATCTATCGGGGAGCCATTTGGACAGTCACGTCTCTGAATCTCATTGTTTTCTCTCTTCCTAGGCACCAGTTTGTAGAAAATAACTTAATACTGAAGATGGGCCCAGTGGACAAGCGGAAGGTGAGTGTCCATCCCAGCCGCCGCGCGGGGCTCCAGGTCTCTCTAGCGGCAGAGCTGAGGGGCTGCAGCCCAGGTGGGGGTGAGGCCACGTAGCCTCGTGGCAGAGTGGAGAGGCGCCTCACGGGCTCAGATCCAGTGTCCAAGTCTGGGCAACTTGAGGTAGCTCTGAGCTCCACCACCCGCCGGAGCCCGCTGCACCCCGGGCGGGGCCTGAGGTGGCCCCGTGGTGTCTCGTGAGTTAGCTGTGTCCGAAAGAGGTTTCTGCTGGGCGACTCCGCCCTCCCTCGGGCCCTCTCAGTCTCACCGGTTCCCCCGTGCTCAGTGATGAGGCTCGGGGGCCCAGCTGGGCACTGGCCTGGGCCCTGGGGGGGCGGGGGGCATGGCCGGGGGGGGGCGTACTCCAGAGCAGCAGGACCCTTGCGGGCAGCCAGGAGAGGTGCCGGAGAGGCGGCTGGTGGTCCCCTCGCCGAGGCAGGCAGACGGGGCCGCCCGCGCCATTGCACCCCTTGCTCAGCCCAGGGGCGGGGACGGGCGGGCGGCGGCCGCGGCCCGCTCGCTGCCGGGTATCGCCGCGGGGCCGTCTGACTCTGTTCCGCACGCCAGGGTTTATTTGCACGGCGCCGGCAGCTGCTGCTCACGGAGGGGCCACACCTGTACTACGTGGACCCCGTCAACAGAGTCCTGAAGGGCGAGATCCCGTGGTCCCAGGAGCTCCGGCCGGAGGCCAAGAACTTTAAGACCTTCTTTGTCCACACGGTCCGTGCCTCCCGGGGTCCTGGCTTGGGGGGCAGTGGAGGCGTGCTCCCCCGAGAGCCCCAGCGCGCCAAGGGGCCTAAGTCGGGCTGGGAGACCCCTGCGCTTGTTTCTGAATTGAGGGTCCCCCGCAGGTGAGGGCGTCCCTGTGCTTCAGGAGAGAAGCCCCAGCCCAGCCCCTCACCGCGGCGCCCCCGCACCTGACGGTGTCTGTGTTTGCAGCCTAACAGGACGTACTACCTGATGGACCCGAGTGGGAACGCGCACAAGTGGTGCAAGAAGATCCAGGAGGTGTGGAGGCACCGATACCAGAGCCCCCCGGACGCCGCCGTGCAGTGACCGCCGCCGCAGGGTGCGCGGCCCGGCGCCGTGGGCGCTTGCAGACCCCTGCCGGCCACCTCCAGGGCGCCGACGGCAGGCCGGGCAGCTTTTTATTTAAAAGAAAAAAAAAATACCCGACCACCCAAAGAACCAATCAGCGCGAGAGGCGCCCAGGGCCGCGCGCCTGCTCCCTGCCCTGCGGAGGCCCGAGCTCCCTGCGGCCAGTGGCGTCGGCCCAAGCAACTGCAGCCACCAGCTTTCTGTGTGCGGTGCGCCCGGCCGGGGTGGACATGTGCGCCTCCTGCACCCGCCGCCCCGGGGCTCTGGGTGCCGCCCACTCCACCGGGGCGCTTGGGCTTAGGCCTCAGGCTCCTCGCCATCCCCAGGCGCTGGCCTGTCTGTGCCCCACGTCCACCTTCCCGCGTGGCCCTGGCTGTGGGATTCTGGTTCCCACTGTGCGCGGACTGCACCACGCAGGTGAAGCGGAGGGCCGTGGCCGCCTGCCATCCCTCGGGAGTCGGAGAGGCAGGGGGCCGAGGCCTGCATGAGCATTGCCCCTGGGGGCTGTCTGAGGTGAAGGGCGGGCCTGCCCTGGGAGGCGAGCCGTGCCGCCCCGTGCCCGTCCTGCGGCGGCCTCTCCACGCGGACAGTCCCGGCACCTCCGGACCCCGGCCATCAGGACTCTGCCAGACCCGGGCTGCATCCATCCCTCATGGGATGGACAGGCACAGGCCAGTCCCCCCAACCGGGGCCCGGGGGCGTGAGGCTGGGATTCAGCCGCCTTGTGTTGCTCCGGGGCAGGTCCTGGTGTCTGCGGGGGACGAGGAGGTGGGGAGCGCAGATTGCGGGCGTTGTGGGCCACGTCCACCAGGCCAGGCTGGACAGCTCGAGCGGCACGCCACCACCCCCTGGCCAGGCAGCGCCCTCTCGACCAGAGCAGGAGAGGGCAAGCGGCCCTCGTGCTCGGCAGGGTCCTGGGGCTCATCCTCGCCAGGGCCCAGGCAGCCAGACCCCGGCCACTGCCCCGGCGAGCAGCGAGGCTGAGCTCCGCTCGTGCCTCCTTCAGAGAAGCCCACCTGTGTTCACCTGCTTTTTCAGACGTGACCTTGCCTGGCTGTCTCTTTCAGGAATTTATCTTCAGGCTCACCCCGCGTTCCGCCTCGCCTCTGGAACAGGCCGTGGCCGTGCGCCCCAGAGTGAGCCCCGCCCGCGCTTTCTCTGGCGGTCGGTGGCGGGGAAGCAGGGGAGCCTGCGGGTTGTAGCAGGCGCACGTGGCTGCTAGGAGACCCGATCTCCCCGGACCGCACCACTACCTCCGGCTGCACCGCCAGGCACCCCGTCGCCTCCACAGCCTGAGGTGGCCGGGCAGGAGCCGCCGCGACTGCCATTGCCCCAGCCCATGGCCCAAGGGCCCTGCTCTGTAGGCAACCGCACCCCCACGGCCCCCCGGTGTTATCACCCTGTCCTTGTGCGAGCTGCACCGTCACCTGCCCTCCGTGGTGGCTCCTTGCGGTCCGAGACGTGGACGCGGGGCTGCGAGGGCTGGCCCCGGGCGGTGGGAGTGTGCCCCTTCCGCCAGCCCAGGCCCGTGTCTCCCAGAGGCAAGGACCAGCAGCGCCGCCTGCCCAGCTCCCCCCCCCCCCCCGTGGGGTCCCCCTGGCGTGGAGAAGAGGGAGCACTGGCCCGCTGGGCGCCCCGCCTTGCCTCCGGGGGCCGGGACTGGCGGCCGCTCCCCTCTGCCCTCCCTGGAGCGGCAGAAGCCTCAGCGCCCCACCCTGGGTGCTGCCCGGGCCTGGGCGAGTCTGGGCTTGCTTAAACCAAACTTTGTTTTCCGAAAGTCACTGGAGGCTTCCCCCACCCCAGGGCCGCCGGGAGCGGTGCGCTCAGCCGCCACCACCCAGAGTGCATGTGCTCTGCCGCCCAGTGGGAGCCTAGGTCATCGCCCGCGTCGCGCCGGCTTGTTTTCACGTGACGCTTCAGCCATCTGCCCCGGTCGGGAGCCGTGACTCAGACACGGCTGCTGGCGGTGCCGCGGCCGGCCGTCACAATTCCCTGTGGTAGCATTGAGATGGTGTCCGGGTGTCCACTGTTTAATGATGCTGTGACCCTTCTACATCTTGATCTTTGACTCCTCCCATCCGTCCTAGACCCCCAAGAGTGGTGTTTTGGGCCAGAGAATCACTCGCTGTAAAGGTGGCGCTCGTCCCTGCGTGCTCAGCGCCGGCCGCTCTTCAGGGGCCCAGCCCCAGACAGATGGCGTCCCAGCAAGCCGCGCCCCAGAGGGTGGGATGAGACTGCTGTTTTTAACGCTAAGATAATGTCACCCTGCGACTCATTCCCCAAGCCTGTCCCTGGTGTCTGGGACCTGGCCACGCGCATGCTGGCGCACCCCACCTGCTGCTACAGCCGCGTGCGCGCTGACGCCTCGGAATCTCGTGCTCTGTCCACAATGGTACTGAATTCGCGTCTGCACAGTCGGCAGAGAGAGAGAAAAAAAGTGTTGAACTGACCTTGCCACACGCTTAGTGGATGATTGTGGTTCCTTAGACCAGTGCACAAGAGCCACTGAAGTCAAGTGAAGGTTTTGGAGACGGGACCGCCCAGCGGTCAGGCTTCACAGGAGCGTATTTGCCCGGCTTCCCATGCCAGGGTGGGGCTGGGGTGGCTTCAGGCCCCTCCTGCCCAGTGGCCCATGGTGCCGTTTGTTGTCTTCAAGGCCACACTGCCGATCTGGTTTCATTTTTAGTTGCTCCACTTTAGTTTGGGGTCTGTTGACTCTTAGAGGGGGAACACACAGGGTCTTCAGGTGCCAGGCTGTGCAGAGGGGTTTTGGGCCTTCATGAAGGCGGCCCCTCTCCTACCCCACCCCCACCCCCCACGGCCGGCCAGCAGGTAGTGCTCACTGCTGAGTCTGCCGCAGTGAGGCAGTTCCTGGAGATGACGCCCTCTTGCTTTCTCCCCGCTCTCTCCTTCCCAAGCCTGCCCGACCCTGGCAAGTGCCCTTCTTCCCTGGCGGGTGCCCTGCCCATGGCCTCTAAGCCACTGGCCACCCTGCTGTGGGGAACTGGAGGCAGCGGCTGCCGTTCTGGGAGGAGCAGCTTCCTGGAGCTCCGCCTGGGGGCGTCGCGCAGCCCTGCTGTGCACCTGAGCTGGCCAGTGACCAGGGTCGGCGCGCTTGATGTACAGGGAATCTTGACAAAACGCAAACCGTTTTCAGCTGTGCAACGCACCCTATCTAGCCCTTACAGCAGATTAACTCCGAGTAGGGGTCACTTGGCTGGACAAACCCTCCCACGAGCCCGAGTCTGATTGGATGTTGGCGGAGTTCAAGTGTGCAGTCTTTAGACCTGCTGTATCTGTCCCTTACCAACGCAGAGTAGGCCGAGTGGTGGCGCGCGGCCGTGGGGCTGGCGGTGAGCACGAGCGCAAGGAATACTCTCTACCTGGTCAGTAGCTGTAACTGTGATGTACAGGCAAAGCAAAAATTTAAAAGATGTATGAAAACAAATAATGCAATGATATTAGGATATACACTTTTGTACTTTTATTCTTATATAAGGTTATTTGCTGGCTATCGTTGGCCTCTATTCAGTCTGTGTTATTTAAAATCTAATATATGAATTACTTGGATTGAGTTCATGTCCGGGGCCACGTTGTATGTATTGATGTACAGCCTTGAATGTGAATAATTATTGTAAACTATATTTTACAACTTTTTTTCTGGCTTTTATTATATAAATTTTCTATTTGGTCAATGATTTAATCCTATCATAATTTAATGAACCTGTTTACCCGTTTTTCCCCAAGTGTTTGTGCTTAGATGTAGTTACCGGATGATGAGTTTCCCACGTATGCTCGGTAGCCTTGTAATAAACACGCATGTGGAGAGTGCGGCTCGCCGGCGTGGCTCTCTCGCGGGCGCGGGGCGGCGCCGGGCGGTGCGTCCAGCTCCGTCCACGTCAGGGATCGGGCAGCCGCTCTCACGATCTTATCACAGGCGC